TCGGGGGTTGCGGAATCGCGATTTTTATACTAATCGCCGCAGATTACTCAAATTTGGATTGGTGGAATAGGTTTCGTTAGCTGGGAGTAGGATTTTCTTTCGCTCTTAGATTGGTCAAGATTTTGGGGGAGGAAAGATGTTGACAGGAATCGATAGAGTGGGAAAGCGAAACTCCAAAATTTTATGACCCTAAGATTTATGGGGAAACGTACGTTTCGGGCGCCGAAAGGTCGCGGATGCATCGTCGCCACGGGACCACCCAGAATCTACCCCTGAACGTCGCGTGCCGTTTCTTAAATTTTATAATTACGAATTCGCGAAAATCGTTCGCGACTTGATTGTTAATCTTGGCGTTAATCATTGATTTTTATCTCGGAGCGACATTCATGAGGAGATAACGGATTCTTAGTTTTTAAGATGAAAAATAAAAAGGAAAGAATATAAAATTTTAGAGCTTCGAGGAATTCGAGATCTTTATGAAAGAAAAGAGTCGCGTGAGTCCGCCGGACGTAACATAATAATAAAACGAGAGGCTTTGCGGAAAATACGATATTCCTTATAATTCCAACGGACATGAAAATTTTATTCAACAGAAACGCAATAATATGCGTGAAGGACCGCAATATCCCTCGATGGTTGCAAGTAGGAAAATTTTTACAATTAGAGTTATTACATTATTCATGAGTGCGGAAAAGAACATGTATTTCATAATAAATGATTAAATGACATCATGTCGATTTTTTAATGACTGTAATTGATAGTACTAGGACAAGATGTTGAAGAATGTCAACTATACATAGTCTATCGCAAGACATGTTCAATTACATTTAAATGAAATTTACTGACACAATAATAAAATAACATATTATATCAGTGTTAGTATTTATTATTTCTATTATCACTAGATAAAATTCTAAGAAGTGATATTTTCTGAAAAAGATGCGTAATAAATATTTATAAATACCATTTTTGTAGTTGGATTCACACAAAATCATACACAGTATTATAGTTAAATAAGGTCATCCGATTCGCAATTCGCGTGAGCAATTATATGAAATATGTACATCAAATAAATAAAATTTGTTCCAATCGGACAGTCGCATTTGGCATTCAGTGTGTGTGAGATTTAAATATTAATTTGTAATATTTTGTGTTCACTAAAAGCATAACCTACTTCATAAAATATTGTACAACTTTCTATATTAAATTCAATTTTTCTTAAACATGGTATACTCAAATCTAATTTAGTATATTTCAGAAAAGATAATTTTCGCAATGTTTTAAACCACTTTTTTAGATACTTTATAGATAGAAAGAAGCCATACTTTTGTACAATATTTCGATAAGTTGTTTGAAAAGGAAGTGATCCAAATATGCAAATGCTTTCTTTCAATTTTTTTATATACACCGTTGGTGGTATATGGCGACCAGTTGAGTGGTCATCAAGTGGTGCCAAGCTGCTGTATAATGTATTTACCTTTATTATAATATCTTCGGAATACTTTTTGGTGTTAACTCAATTTATGGATATAATTCTTATTGTCGATAATATCGATGATTTTGCCACTAATACTCTAATGTTCCTAACTATTGTTGCTGTATGCTGTAAAGCGACTGTCGTTGTGGTACGTCGAAACGCGATTATCAACTTAATGCAAATATTATTGAAAGCACCATATAAACCTCGAGATGAGGATGAAGTAGCTATACAAACAAAATTTGATAAATTCATTAGGTAAGTTCATATCTTTCTTAAAACGTCCTAATATTAAAATATTATTATAACTTAAAATATTTATGCAATAATTCAATTTGTATGCGTTCAGCACATACTATTTCTAAATTATACAAATTTTATCAGCACTGATTGTTTCTATAACAAATCCTTTAGCTTTACGAATCCTTTAGCTTTTACTACATTTTGTTGATCATATATTTTAGAACTTATTTATATTTCTACATAAAAATGTAATAATTTTCTATTCTCTGTTTAATTGATAAACTTTTTAGTTAAAGAAATTTCCTATTCCAATATCATTTTAAATTATAGTGATAATTCGCAAAACACATGCACAAAATAATTAAATATAATACAATAACTATAAATATTATGATTATAAATTTCATTAAATTAAAAATATAAATAAATGCCGATAGAAGTTTATATAAAATTTTATCTCGGTTCTACGTTTGCAGATCATGCTCGATAAAATATTCACTTTTAGCAACAAGTTCCGTTACAGGCACTACAATAGGATCAGTATTAAACGTTATGCAAGGTCATCTGCCTTATCGAATATGGCTGCCATGTAATTACAATGTAACTACGTTTTGGGCTATATCTGTTCATCAAATTATAACTGTAATTTTTGCCACGATGATAAATGTTGGCACGGAAACCTTAGTCTTCGGATTGATTTTACAAACGTGTGCTCAGCTTGAAATTTTTAAAAGTCGTCTTCACAAGTTCATAATTAAAAAGACAGTTACATATCTCGGACATGCACGTTCTTTGTCGAATGAAGACAAAACATGCATATCGGAATGTATACGTGATCATCTCAGCATTTACAAGTAAGTCACGTAAGAATTCATCTTTATGCATATATTCAGTTTGCTCTTTATATCCGTATATGTGCATTATATACGCGCGCGCGTGTGTGTGAATATGTATGTCTAAATAACTATTATTTATTAAAATAAATTGTTAATGTTTATGATGGAAAGTTCAAAATCGAAAGATAATTCGAGTACTCCTATTTGAAATTATAAATGGACAATTGTTACAAAAGTGTGAATACAAAATATTCTTAAAGTCATTATATAAAGTGCCCTTGGATTTTTATATACTTACAAACTTTAATAGTACCTTCTGTAACCTAAAATAAAACAAAATTTTCATATAGGTTCTAAGATTGCTACATTAAGAAGTTACGACAAAAATATAAAATATGTAAGAAACATTTTTTCCTGATCCTGTATTTTAAAATACTGTCAGTTTATATCAATACAAGTCTGATATTAATGTAATTTTAAATTTCACCCTTTTTACGAAAGTAGAAAATATATCTCGCTATAAAAGTTATAAAGCCTTCTGTAAGAATTAATGTATAACATTTATATAACATTTTTTCTTATTTCTGTTTACAAAACACACTGCAGTTTATTTATTTGGAAAACGAAAACACACCTTGTATAATCATTTCATAGTAAGTTGTCTAGGAAAAAGTATCATCTAAGGACTAAGTAGTTCTTGTTTCAGCAAATTATGCGTGCTAAAATTTTCATACAATTATTAACTAAGAATATTATAAAATTATACATCAAAATAGCAATTGTCTCATTCATCTGAAATAATTAACATGAAACCATTACAGATACGCCAAAACGGTAAACATCATATTCAACCAAGTACTTTTCGTTCAGTTCTTTAGTAGTATACTGGTATTATGTACCAGTGTGTATTATTTGTCAATGCATGTTAAGGACCTGTCTGCAGCTGCACCTTTATTGGTATATACCATCTGCATGTTTGTACAAATCTTCGTTTACTGCTGGTCCGGAAACGAAGTCATGCTTAAAGTAACTATCATGTACGCTATAATCCGTATGAAATAGATACGTACCTAACCGATTTTCTGAGTTAATGGAAAAATGGTGGATATTTTTGAACAATCTTTTTTACAAGAGTTTGCAAAATAATCTAGCAAATTATTTGTCCACAACAAATTTAAATTATTTTATACAATACAATTAAATACAATAAGAATATATATAATGTATACATGAGCGTGTATAAGACTATAATAATATTATTATGATTGTTCGATATTATTATGTAATAATAATTCTACTTATAATATATAAATAGAGTATGAGTATAACGGATGCTATATATCGTATGGATTGGCCATTACTATCGATTAACGAAAAAAAAGGACTGTTGATGATCATGATACGTAGCACAATTCCTGTAAAGTTCACTAGCAGCTTCTTGATAACTCTATCTCTTCAGTCTTATAGTAACGTTAGTATCGTTTGGTGTCAAAATAAATATTTGACATAGTATGTCAACGATATTAAGAATATTTGTTGCGTATGTACGAAAATACAGTCGGAATTTTTCATAATAAACACATAATCTTCCATGTATGTCAATGTTTTTTCTATTTTTCTTTCAGATCTTGAAAACATCATATTCAGCATTTAACGTTTTACAAAAGTAAAGTATAATAAATAACCAAAAATGTGTTTAAATATGATAAAGATGTAGTCATTTTGATAAATGATAGCGACTTTAAATCTTATAACTATTATTTACGTATTTATTTCCGGCCTTGTTCCTTATATCAATTATTCGAATATTAGCACACACAGATAAACACACACATGCACGTACGCACGCACTAAATATATACATATAGCACACAAAATACATCCAATAATGCATTTTAATGTGCAAGCAGAAATCGTTTTAAATCGGATGAATATAAAAATTTTAACCTGTTTTTGTACGTTACATACATTCTTTACGAGTGCTCTAGAAGTAATTGACACTTTTCTAATTCATTTATCATACTTATGTAAGCGAATGTACGAATAGAATTAAGATAAAAAATATTTAGATACGTTATGCGTTACTTTTTTCGTTACATTATCTTACACTTTTACACAATAATACTATATTGTACATTAAAAATATTTGTACTTCATGCAAATAAAATTTAAATATGTATATTATAATATAAATTAATTCTTTTATGTCAGTATATATATGAATTTCATTTGTGTATCTATTCCCGATAATACAATTATACATACATATACAAGCTATACTCAAATTAAACTTTAAATAGAAAAAATCGACAAATATATCTATTAAATCAAAAATGTGACTCCACTTTAATTCCAGCTCTAAAATATACAGTGTAAAAAATATAATATCATTTACCATACTCACAATATTTAATTCCTTATTTCCTACATTAGAAAATCAATGCACAATTCAAAATATATGTGTGTTATACGCGATTAATTAAATACATATATATTTTCACGAACACTTGCAATACTTTACAGATATACAGAGAAGTATCTTGAGAAATATATTATATTTTAATTTATACACTTTTATCGCCATACAGAGCCCTGCATTTTTATATAATAAAATAAGAGGCTTTGCGGAAAACATGATATTCTTTGTACTTCTGATGAAAATATGCAAATATTTTATTCAGCAGGAAACAATGCGTGACTGTGAAGGAGGACGTCCCTCGATGGGTGGAAGTAAGAAAACTTTTATAGATACGATTACTATATTATTCATAAGGACGGAAAAGAATATACTGCCCATAACAAATAATTAAACGACTTTATGTCGATTTTTTAATAACTGTAATTAATCGTTGAAAAGACATTGAAGAAAGAAATCTATAATATCATACTTATATAGTCTATCGCAAGGCACGCTCGGTTACATTTAAGTAATGACACAATAATAAAAGAATATATTATGACAATTAGTATTTGTTAATTTTCTTACCAATAGATAAAATTCTAAGAAGTGATATTTTTCGAAAAAGAAGCAAATCATGAACTATAATTATTGCAATTAAATAAAGTCATTCGATTCGCTATCAGCAATATTATTGGACGCAATTTGTAAGTTAAATAAAATTGATTAGAAACGGACAGTGGCATTCAATATGTGATTTAAACATTAATTTGCAGAGAATTTACTAAAAGCATAATCTATTTTATAAAATATTACACTACCTTCTAAAATTTTAAATTAAATTCAATTTTTCTTAAACATAAATATATTGGAATTTAAATAATATATTTCAGAAAAGGTAATTTTCAAAATATTTTAAATCACTTTTTCAGATACTTTACATGTAGAAAGAAGCTATACTTTTGCATAATATTCGATAAATTGTTTGGCAAAGAAGCTATCTGAATATGCAAATATTTACTCTAAATTTTTTAATGTACACCGTTGGCGGTATATGGCGACCAGTTGAGTGGTCATCAAATGGTGCCAAGCTGCTGTATAATATATTTACCTTTATTATAATATCTTCGGAATATTTTTTGCTGCTAACACAATTTATGGACATGATTTTCGTTGTCAATAATGTTGATGATTTTGCCACTAATACTCTAATGTTTTTGAGTATTGTTGCCGTTTGTTGTAAAACCACTGTCATTGTGGTACGTCGGAATGCGATCATTAACTTAGTGCAAGTATTGCTGAAAGCACCATACAAACCTCGAGACAAAGATGAAATAGCAATACAAACAAAATTTGATAGATTTATCAGGTGAGTCCATATCTTTATTAAAATGTTCTGCACAAATTTAATTTCTTTGCATTTAACACATACTCTTATTATATTATCCAAAATTAGTACTGCTTATTTCTATAACAAATTATGAGTGCTTTACCTTTTAGTATGTCGTGTGTGTGTGTGTGTGTGTG